AGTATTTATTTATTAAAGTATTAACCCTGCAAAATCAACATCATAAAACATTTCCAAGCAGTGCAGAAATCACGAAAGTCCCTTCATCTATGTGTGTGTGTGTGTGGCTGTGTGTATGAGCTGCTGCGTTCAGAATGATTTTAATTTATGTTTAATTCACTGCCTTCAGAATGAGTGTTTAATCACATCAGCCTTGACGGAAACTTTACAACACACACACACACACACACACACACACACACACACACACACACACACACACACACACACACACACACACACACACACACACACTCACATCTTCTTTTCTGCTGCGGGTCTCTCAGTGTGTGTGTGTGTGTGTGTGTGATGTAATAAAGACTGAAGTGTGTGTGTCGCCACTGCGTTCGCTCACACTCATCGCTGGCGTTACACCAAAGTTTGATCCTCCAAATACCAGATAAGGTGTAAGAGACTTTTATTCTATGATTATTATGGACTATAATGGACTGGTGTTTGCCATATCAGAACATAATAAAAGTCTTTTTTTCTGTATTGGTGACGTGTCTGTGCCTTTAAACTGTGTTTCCCATATGCAAATATTAACGCTTGACAACATTTGTTGACATTTATTAATGCTTTAAACAGAGACATTCAACTTGAATGACAATCTGAATGTCAACAGTGATGTGCATCTGTTTATGAAGATAATAAAGCAATCAATAATAGGTTACATCATAAAGCATGCATTTTACAAAACCTGTTTTAGCCTAAAATTGACAGCAAATCAAAGCTAACCATCAGCACAAATTATATCCAAAAATGAGCTTTCAGTCAGATTTAGTTTAGCCGCAGTACCGGACATGACCACCAGGTGACCTTTAATTTACATTGATGACCATACAAGAGCGCCCCCTCTGTTTTGAAGAATATGAACCCTATTTTTTCACACTTGTAGCAATATTTGTAATGTAGACATAAAATTCTAAAGTAGTACAAGCAGTTTGGCGGTTTTTGATTGAGTTTAGTCTCTAAAAAGCATTCAAATCTGGATTGCTGTAGCAAAGTAATGCTTTAAGACTAAGAGTATATGCTTGTTGCAAATTAATAAATAACTTTTGCTCAGTGATATCATCATAAACCTGTCACCAGATATGGAAACTAGACATATTAAGCTTTCAAATCAAATATAGTGTCATGAATTTCATATGTTTAGACTATTTAATTGCAAAGAAAACAATATAAACTTAAGGGTCCCGAAGGGTTAAAGAGACGATTCATCCAAATGTGAAAATTTACTCGCTGTTTATTCAGTTTTATGGGTTTTTGTACGCAACAGAAGATATTTTGAAGCATGCTGGGAAAAAAACAGACATTTACATCCATAGTAGAAACAAAAAACACTTTATGAAATCTGTTTTCTGCAGCATTCTTCAAAATATCTTCTCTTGTGCTCAACAGAAGATAGAAACAGTAAATAGTGAGCTCATTGTCATTTCTTGGTGTGTTTTTTTGTGCATTTCTATACGCATCATGAGGGATTAGAGACTTGCTGATCTGTTGTTAGTGTGTGTGTGTGTGTGTGAGTGAGATATTAAGCTGATCTGACTGCGTGTGGTCTCTCTTTAAAGTGCCCCGAGGACGAATCGAGCAGTCGCAGGTATGCAGAGATCATGCATGTGTTTATGATGCAGACCTTTATCATATTACAGTTTTGTCATGATGATTATTCTCTTCACTCTGCAACTCTTTGCTTTCTGAGCGGAAGCAAAGCGGCTTTAGCTGAAGCTGATCTGCATGTGTTTCTCTGAGTGCATCAAACACACACACATGCATATATATATACACGCACATGCTCGCAAACAAACACACATGCACATGGTCACAGATACATACGCACACACACACACAGAGTGATGTAATCTGCATGGTTTGGTTTGTCAGAAACATGAGCATGATGATGATAACAGCACAGATGATCTCTGATGAGCTGAAAGGCCTTCACCAAAACAGCACAATATAATTATACACAGAGGAAGTCAGAATGAGTCTCCTTCCTGTCAAATCTTCTTTTTCAAATCATATTTTCAGGCATATTTCCACCGTATCTCCTATCAGATGTTATTTCTTCTGGAGAACGTCTGGTTTATTTTAGTGTGTCTGGAATAAAAGCTAAAGATTAAAGGACTGAGTTATTAGAAATGAGTTCTTAAAAGTATGAAGTCATAAAAATGTGCTGAAGAAATCTTCTGTCCATTAAACAGCACAGGAAAACATTGGAAACAATATAAAGTTATAAAGCCAATCATTTTGACTTCAGCTGTGTATATTTTGCATTTAGACATTTAAATATTCACACATGCAAACGAGCTGAATTGCATAGAAATGTTTAGTTCCCAGTGTACAGTGAGGCTGCATTAGTTAATGTCAGTTCATATATTTACTAACATGAACAAACAGGTCATCAGTACAGTTACTGTTAATTAAAATATGTGTCATTATTTAAAGCGGGAATATTAAACTATGATTAATAAACACTAGCACTGTCCATTATTATTATTATTTCATGCTAGGAAGTACATGAACTGACATTAATGGTAAAGTGTGAGCAAATATAGCGTTCTGGTGAAGCTGCTGCAGAAACTGCTCTGGTTTTGGCTTCATTATTATTATTTTAAAATTGTTTTATTTGCTGAATTGTACATTTCCTATTTTACTGACTCTTTATACTGTGTGAATATAAACCATCTGCTTTTTCATATTAATACACTCACAAATACTTCCTGGTAACTTTCAGTATTATAAGTTATTTATAGCATAAATTATAATTATTAAATATAATATCATAGCAATATAATAAGACTTAATAATTTATATATTATCCCATTATATTGACTTTGATTCATATGTATTGCTTTAGTCAGGTCAGTGTTATTTTAGTACCAATGCGCTATTTATTTGAGTATTTTAGCATGCAAATTTGAAAAGTGTAGCAATAGACGTTTGCATTATCATTATTGTATCTGCTGTAATGTAGTGATTTAAATATTTTAATCTTATTCTTTTAATTTTCCCCCCCAAAAAATGTTTTATTTTAAATAGTTATTTATTGTTGTTGTAATAAATACGAATAACAAATTTATCATTTATAACAATATAATACAGAATTCTTATCATTTACTAATTTCGTAATTATTATTTTAGATTTTTTTTCAAAATTTAAATATTTTTTCTTTACATTTTTTCTGAAAAACACTGCCTTACTAACTCATTATTTAGAATTAACATTTATTATAATTGTTTTTAAAATACAAATGTATAATGTATAACTATAATATGTTTTTTTTCATTATTATTGGTTTTATTTTATCCTGTATAATGGCGCATCTTAAAGCTTGTCAGGTCTGCTAATGATCTTCATGATTCTGCAGAGAAGAACTGGTACACGGAAGAAGAAAACCGACCAATCAAACACTCCAGCAGCCTCACAGCCAATCAGATCAATCAGTACAAATCTAGCGGCAACATCATCCAGCCAATCAGAGAAGTGGAAGAGCCCTGAGGGGTGGGAATCAGCTGATGACTGACAGACTAAATGTTATCTCTCTCACACACACACACGCACACACATCAGTGGTTCTCAACTGTTTATTCTAAAGATTCAAAACTGCTTAATAGAGACATTGAATGATTCATGAGTCAAATGCTGTACGGGTAGAGTCATAAAACACTTGGTCATGTGAGGAATGACACCAGTACACTATATAAACATTTGATATATTGACTATCGTCTTCTAAAAACTGTACATTTGACAAAATATAGAAAGAAACAGACAAATAATGTTAAAATAAAGGTGGAGTTCTGCAGCTGTATTGTAGAAACACTTCAACAATCTGCTTTTCATCAGCTGCAGGAGTTTAGAAGACACACGAAGCCAGATATGTTCTATGAGAAACTCCGTAAGCACTGTTATTATGACAGTTTAATCCGGTTTATTGTTTTACAGTGTAGTTGAGAACCACTGGATTTACATATAGTACGGTAAAAGCCCAAAAGAGTGTTATAGATAGATATATTTACACATAGAATGTGCTACACTTACTGTAGAAGATGGAGAACCTGAGCTAAATGTGTGACAATACACTCTAATTAATGCTGGGTCAAATATGGACAAGCCTAACCTCTGACTTCATTTTTCAGATTAAATTTAAATAGTTTTTTCTTTTAACCCAACTGTTGTATTCGTCCACATTTGACCCAGCGGTGTGTTAAAACCACCCAGCATTCGCTTGGAGAGTAACTGTGACTGTAGATCAGACGTCATTGGTTTCCGCTTCAAC